ATGACGAGGCGGTGAAGGGAGATGAGAGAAAGGGGAAAAGCTCCGTAGAAGTCGTTATGGTTCAGGAATAGGGTTTCTAGGTTCGGGAGTCCGGCGAGGTCAGGAATGGCGCCGGTGAGCGAGTTGTTCTTTAGACTCAGAATCCGGAGCTGGTCGAGCCGAGTTAGAGAATCGGCGGCGAATACACCCCGGAGATTGGAGCCTTGGAGGACGAGACGGACCACCCGGCCCTGAGAGCACTTCACTCCTTGCCACTCACAGTAATCGAACCGCTCGTTGAGCGTGTAGTGAAGCTTGTTGTTGAGGTCCGCCTTGGACTTGAACATCAGAAGCGAGACGGCGTCGGACGGAAGCAGAGACGCGGCGTTGCTGAGGACAGCTGCTGGGAAATAGCAGTGAGCTTGCAGAAGGAAGAAGAGAAGGAAGAGCGTCGTCGGAGAGAGACCTACGCGGCGGCGGCGGCGGCGGCGGACGTTGCTTCTCTCTTGCTTCGGTTGAGCAGTGACGGAAGACGGCGGAGGCGGCGATTGCTGCGCCGTTTGAAGCGGCGTAGGGAGACGGCGAGGCATCATCGTGTAGTGTTTTGGATGGGAGCGCGACAGTGAGGTATTGTTGCGGAGCAGCTGGACTGGCTTTGCTTTGCTTTGGTCGTCAAGCCATAGGTCAAGTGGGTGGTCAATGTCACGTGAAAGAAAGAGCCATACTCCTTTTATTGACTAATACCTCATTCCCTCTGTATTCCCTCCAATATTCTCACTTTCTTTGATCATTTTATTACTCCCTTCCGTCCTATAATGATCTTCGCGGTTCATTTTACGAGGTTTGACTGATTTTATTTTCAATTTAATTTATTTGATTGTAGGTGTAAAATTTAAAAATAAAATTTATATATTTAAAAACTACATCAAAAGTTTTACAAAACAAGTGGTGACAAAATTATACTCCCTCCACCCCCCTGTATTTGTCCACATTTGACTTTTGGAACTGTTCATCTAAGCACTTTGACTCATCAAATTCTCTCAATGTGTAAGCCTAAATATGGCCTAATAGCTCCGGTGTCCCCTCTGGTTTGGAAAATTGGCACCAATACCCCCTCTATTTTCAAAACTTATTTCTAAAGTCCCTGTGGTTTCAAAACGTTGCACCCACACCCCTCTGATCATTTTCCGGCCATTTTCCGGCGAAGAGGGGGCATTGGCGCATAATTTCTAAACCATAGGGGGCACTCGTGCTCATTTCTTATTTTTCATTTATTATTTGTGTTTTTCCTTCTTTTTCCTTTTTCTAGATTTTTTTTTTAAATTTCTTTTTAATTTTTTATAATGTTTTAAAATTTTTTAAAATTCTTTGTGTTTGAACTAATAAAAAAAATTAACATACATTACATCTATCTCAAATTAAACATTTCCACTTTTTCTTACATAGAATAATTTTTTGGAAAGTTCAAAAAGAAAACCCAAAATAAAAATATGGAAAAACGAAATGAAAAAATTAAAATACGAAAAAAGAGTCTTTCACAAAAAACAATTTTGGAACACGCCTAAAAATATCCTTAAAATTGAGATGTCCAAAAAGGATAATCATTTTTATTTTTGTATTATTTTGTTTCTTATTTTATTCATCCTTTTTTTGAAGTTCTAAAAAAATTACCTTTTTTTCGGAAAAAAACAAAAATTATTAATTTGAGACGTGCCAATGCATTATATGTTAATTTTTTCAAACAAAAATAACTTTAAATTTTAAGAACATTATAAAAGTAATTGTAAAATAACCTTTATTAATAAATGAAACAAATAAAGAAAAAAATGGGGAAAAAAGAGAGAAATAAAAAATCAGCACTGGTACCCCACATGGTTTAGAAAATATGCACTAATGCCCCCTTCTTCGCCGGAAAAATGACTGGAAAATGATCAGAGGGGGCACGGGTGCAGAGTTTTGAAACCACAAGGACTTTAGAAACAAGTTTTGAATACAGGGGGGTATTGCTGCCTATTTTGCAAACCACGGGGGGTATTGACGCTATTTGGCCGCCTAAATATAGTCATGTGTGATCTTGTTTGATTTGTCTTAACATATAGATTATTAATATATAATTTTTATAATTTTTTAATTTACAAATTACAAGATAAAATGGATTAAAGAAGTGCATTGGATAGTGTGTAAAAATGAAAGTGGACAAATACAGGGGGACGGAGGGAGTATTATTTTATCAAATACCTAACGAAAATAGGTAAAGAAAGTAATTAAAGTTTGACCGGGTAAAAAGTGAGTGGGAAGAACATTTTAGAATGGAGGGAGTAAAAAAAATACTTCATTCCTCCATTGTACTCTTCATACCCCACAAAAAAAACTCTCCATTCCCATTTTTAAACGTTCTAATAGATCTCTGATTTTTTGTAAATTTTATGTAGTCTAACATCTCTTTCTCTTTTACATCAAAATCATATTTCAACTACGTAATTTCACTTCTCTTACAATTTGTGTCAATCAAAGAAGGAAGTTTTTTTAGACGGATGGAATATAAGAAATGGGTTGTGCTAGGGGTGCAATATAGTACAATGTTTGAAGATGTAAAACAAGTAACAACAAAGAATTGGTCTGAAATTTTAATTATGATATTATAGCTTAAATTGTAGTATAACATCTTATATCAATTGATTCAACTCTCACAATAACTTTTATATAGTTTCAATTGTGATCTTCTTGAACAATATTACAAAGTTCTAAATGAGTTTTCCATCATTTTATTTTTCAAATAACGTTATCGTATAGCAATGTATAGTGATATGAGACGTAAAATATGACCATTCCATGCTTTAACCTCGAAGACAGGGATAACTTTGTGAGATTAACTTCATTATTTTGTTACCTGCTTCGCATTTTTTTAGGATGCGCATTTTTTGCGTGCTTCACATTTTTCTTAAAGGAACGGTTAATTATGCAAAAGTCTTTTGACTATATGGACTACTTGGCAACTTTTAAAAGGTTGAGAACTTATTTACCCACTTGAGAAAGACCTCATATAATATTTATGTAAAGTCTTCAATTTTAGAATGGTGTATTCAATCTAGAGTTTGTACAACTTTTTAGATTTTAAAAGTCGATAGATATTCGATTTCAATTATAAATTTTTTAGAAAATCTAATGGTATTAAATGAATCATAGATTTTGAAAGATTTTTATTGTACATAGATTTTGATGGATTTTGAAGCAAATTTTCTATGCAAATTTTTTTACACATTCCTCTAGACACATCAAAAAAATTTAATGTACACTTCACTCACCCCTCGAGTTTTTCTTTATAGAGATGGGTGTGACCTAACTCTAGTCTCATACTTGCAAGACATAGACCTCACAAGAACATCCTCCCTCACTACAAGAATTGGCTTGATCTACCACATAAATATGTTACAGACAAAATCTGTTGCAGATCTACAACGACTTTGCGACGAAAATATGAATATTGAAAACCAGTTCAACATCTGCGATGAACCATGTCTTTTCATGGTTGATTTGCGAGGGATTGTAGACTTGCGTCGCAGATCTAACATGCTAAAATAAATTTTGTTTGCTCCTTTAAAATTAGATACAAAATAGAGTTGTCGCAGACCTACGACGAATATATGCTATGAACCTTTTTCCATCGTAGATTGTAAGTTAAAAAAATTGCAAATTACCTTATTTCGTTTGGTTTACAATGCTCGGCAACCTCACAATCTCACATCTTTCCTCTAAAACTAGAGCAAGCTCTAGGGACTGACCTGAACGGATTAGTGGCAAGGTTTGCCATAAGTATAGTAAGTTGGAGCCATGTGGTACCTGCTGGGTCCAATGGTTGTCCGGTAAAAACGTGCGCACGAGAATCTGTGAACTGTCGTTCTGAAGGGGACAAGGATCTCACCCACCCAACGAGTAACTCCTGAGTTCGTTTGGAGCTAGACCTTCATTCCGAATGGGGAAGGTCATGACTCCCATAGGCAAGTTGAGATCAATTATGCTTTAACTTGTGATAGGTTAAGAGCCAAGTATAACAATGAAAGTAAATTGAATCAGCAAGAAAGTATTTAGCTTTTTGCATCATTGTTTGATTATATCTTGTGAGTTGTTATGATATTGTCATGTATGTTTACGTGCATGATGTCGTATGATGATATGGGCTAGTGAGGTCGTCTATGAGTATAGCTGTATGTTAGATATTTCTCATTTAGCTTCAGTGTTGAGCGTGTAGTGTTTGTTCTTTTGCCGCACGTAGGTAATCTAGGGAATGAGGAACTTGGAGCCAATCCTAGAGGACGATGAAGATGAAGAAATGTGCGTGGCAGTTCTTGATGATTTTGAATTGCTGTTTATTTCTTAATTAATTAACTTATTATTTTTACAGGCATGATTCTCAAGTTGTGTTTTGGATAATGACTTAAGTTTCCGCAAACGTTTTGATTATTACTTGGATGGATGTTAAATGATTTTTTGAAGTATTACTTTGAATTGTTTTGAAAATTAAGTTTTGTTTGGGTACCAATTTAATAGAAATCCGATTTGCTAATATGAGTATTCAGGTTACACGGGTTGAGGTATTACAAATCGTAATAATAATAATAATAGTAATAATAATTATAATCATAATATTAATAGTAATAATAATATTAGTAATAATAATACTAATAATAATGTTAATATTAATAGTAATAATAATAATAGTAATAATAATATTAATTATAATACTAATTATTATAATAATATTAATTTTATTTAGATTTGGTATGATCTGATAATCTAAGATCTAACTCCTCACTAGCTAACTCTCCCTAGCTCCTCCTCACACTAACTCTCCCTCGTCTATCACTCCGGCGTCCATCAAGGCCTCTATCTCCTTTCCGCCTCCATTCTTCATTCTTTGTTGCGTCTCTTATGCCTTGCCGGCGTACACTTTCCAGCAAATCAGGGCTTCAGGCCACGATTAATCTCTGATATTTCGCATTTGGCAATACGTAGTTACTCCAGCGACTCCAACAATCACAGGGATATTCTCAGGAGACGACATGCCAATCTGACGGGCACCGTCCCACCGCACGTCAACACCCATTTGCCACAGCCGCACTCCATTCCGTCCAATCTGGTATGTTCGAGAATCTGTTTGGACTTCGGTTGTTTCATATTTTTGAGATTTATGATTTCACATGTTCTGTTGATTATTTGATTAGCACAATGGCTTTGCTGAACAATGTGGTATCTTTTTAATTAAAGGTTGAAAGTCTAAAATTTTACGGAGTATTTCGTTTTTAAGAAACTAATTATTGTGATCTTGTGAATTGTGGTTTGCAGTGTATTGATTCTGAATTAGTGAATCAAAGTATGGAGTATCTAACAAGGCTGTCTCAGGAATGATATGTTTTCTTCTTTAACAGCTGCAGTGATCAATTTCTTTTCGCTAATGAAGCCAATTAGACATCATGCGTTCTTTATACCTTGTGGCTAATCAATCCCCTTCTAGAAAAAAATGAAAAATTCATAGAATTTTACCAGGCCAAGAATGAAGATTTAAATATGGTTTATATATATATATATATATATATATATATATATAAATTCGATGATGAATTGCGAGAGAAGTACTTTTATAGGTTGTGACAAAGAAGAGTATGCCATATAAATCTATCCATAGAACCGATCATATGCATCCAGATCCTAAAACTAATGGTAGAAATTGTGATGGGGTAATAGTGATGCTAAAACAAATGCTAGGACTTGCAGAGGGGTAACCAAAATTTTTCCTATCGCGATAGGGTTGCACCAAAGATCGCCACTGAGCGCATTCATCTTTGTAAGTGTTATGAATGAGTTAACTAGGAATACCCATGATGAGACTTGTGGTGTGTGGCTGTGTGCTAGTTGTAGATGATATCGTGTTATGGGACGAAAGTAATGAAGGGTTACTCCCTAAGTTGGAAATGTGGTGATACGAGTTAGAATCACGAGATATGATGAAGCAAAACCAAGGATTTAGATTGCATATTTAGTACGACCAAAGGTAAAAAGCATAGTGTGAGAAAATTGGATGAGATAAATCTATTGGTATGTGATTGTTTCAAGTGATTGGGATTTATTATACCAGGAAAATGTATTTATTGAATATGACACATAAAGTTCATGTAGCTTGGATACGTGCAATAGTTCAAATAGAAGTACGTGATCAAAATGTACCACTTAGATTGAAGGAAGATTTTTAGGACTACTGTAAGACATGTTTTATTTATTGGATCTGAATGCTGGGCAGTGAAAAATGAATTTCATTTGGTGGAGATGTGTACTATGTTACGTACAATGTTTGGTTATACTATAAATAAAAGTGTGCAATGTGGAATTTTGCAGGAACTCGGGTATAGTCGCCATTGAAGATAAATTAAGAAAGACGCAGCCGCGTTGGTTTAGACACAAGTACATGTCCCGGTACATGTACTGAAATGACAAAAAGAGAAGTTGTTGTAGACCGAAATGGCTTGGATTGAAGGTATAAAGAGGGACATTAGAGTTAGGGCTTAATGGGCATATAGTGCATGATAGAAAATCAAATGGAAAGAGGATTTCATTGGAGGACCAGATAGATTTTCTATTGGTTTAGGTAGTTGACTTCATTGAAATTGGAATAAAGTTTGGTTGTTGTTTTTGTTGTAAACGACCTCCTCCGAAGCAAGTTTTTACTAGGACTATTAGGATCTTTGACCATTATTATTCACAATTATAGATTTAAAAAAACTACTAATAAATTATTATTTCAGGAACGTATATTTAAGCAGCTTGTTCAGAGTATTTTAATGTTACTCCAACCGTCACAAAATGAAGTTTATAGTTTGACTTTTGCGGTCAAAATTTTTCTATTATGATTTGCATTAAAAATACAATGAGTTGTAATTTGAATTTAACATCATCATTTTCATTTTGAAATGTACTTTTAGTATATGTTGTGTTTAAAATAATAATTTATCTATAACCAAAGATATTAATTGTCAAAGTGTCTCATTGCATACCGTGAAAGTCAAATTGTAAACGTCATCTTGGGACAAAGGGAGTATAAACATATTAAATTTTGGAATAGTTAACAGTCAAAAGTGACTAACTTTGACTTCAAATGTAAGAGTGGGACTTAATTGGGGCATAGAGGGAGTATCTTTTTCTCAATTGAACAGGCAAGAAACCCACCTACATAAGTGCGGAATTGACTTTTCTTTCCCTTTCTCAAAGGCATGAGATATGCTAGTGAGACTTTATTTATTCTCTCAACCTGACATGGCATTGCATTGCAGGGAATATGTGGAATACAATAAAAAATGGAGGGAAGCTTAGTGCTCTCTTGTCAAATTCAAGGATATCAAGGAAGTTTTCTAGCACATTATTTTCATCGTACAAGGTAAATATATTGTCTTTCTTAGAGGCATGTCCTTTGCTTTTATTGATTTTATTTCTTTATCATGCCCTTCTCACTACAACAAATCAAATTTCCTAAAACTAATATGCACATATTTTGTTAATTATAAAGTATTTCTATTAATAGCCATAACTCATACTTGAGTGACATTAACATTTTCAGCAAAATTGCCATTTCTAAGCTTCTAGTTTTTTCGTATGATGCAGGACTAGATTTGCCCTTATTTAACCTCTTTGATGAAACTCTGCCACCAGGTAAGGGACAACCGCTTCAGGATATGGATGTGGTGCATGTCGCTTGTGAAAGGGTGCTCAAACATGCTTCAATTCAAAGTCATTCATGCCATTTTCATGACAAATGGTCTCCACCACAACACGTACGCCGTCAGCAAACTATTAGAGTTCTGCGCACTCTCTGATTCTGGCGACCTCTCATATGCCTCTCAACTCTTCTCCCAAACTCGAACACCCAATATCTTCATCTACAACACACTCATTAAGGCATACTCTAGCAGCAGCCAACCACATTTTGCTCTGCACTATTTCGGTTTGTTGCTACATGACAATGAAGCTCTCTTACCTGATGATTATACCTTCCCTTTCGTACTCATCGCTTGCACGAATGGCCTTATGGTGCCTGAAGGCAAAAAAACACACTGCTTGGTAGTCAAGAACTCCATGTCCTACTCTAATTCTCATGTGCAGACTGCGTTGATCAGGTTCTATGTAGGGTGCAAGGCATTGGATGATGCACATAAAGTGTTTGAAGAAATTCCTCTCATAGATGTTGTTCAAGCTAATGTCCTTATGAATGGGTATGTGCGGAACGGATTGGCTTCAAAGGCACTGAGTGTATTACAAAGCATGTCTGTGTGTGAAGTTGAGCCTGATGAGTTTTGTATGACTTCGGGACTCACTGCATGTGCTCATTTAGGTGCTCTTGAGCAAGGGAAATGGATCCATGGGTATATCAAGAACAAGAAAGAGTTGCAGTCTGATGTGTTTCTTGGAACTGCACTTGTAGATATGTATGCCAAGTGCGGGTGCATTGACACAGCTGTGGAGGTTTTTGAGGCCATGCCTAAAAGGTCTAAGCATTCATGGGCAACATTGATTCGAGGGCTTGGGGTGCATGGCTTTCCAAAGAGAGCAATTGATTGCCTAAATAGAATGCAGGAGGAAGATGGGCTTAGGCCTGATACCATTGTCCTTCTTGGAGTCTTAGCAGCTTGTACACATTCAGGGCTTCAAAAAGAAGGCCAACTTTTGTTAGCTAACATGGAACCCCTATATGGTGTTATTCCTCAACATGAACATTTCAGTTGCGTGGTAGACTTGCTTTGTAGGGCAGGCAAACTAGATGAGGCTGTTAACCTTATCAGGACGATGCCTATGAAGCCGCGTGCCTCTGTATGGGGAGCACTGCTGAGTGGTTGTCGGGCTCATAATAATGTTACTCTTGCGGAGCTTGCTGTAAAGGAGCTACTGTTGTTGGAAGATGGGAATGAAGCTGAAGAAGGCAGTGCTTATGTTCAGTTATCCAACATATATCTTGCCGCACGCCAGACTGATGATGCACGTAAGATCAGAAGAATTATTGGTGATAAGGGTCTCAAGAAAACACCAGGAATCAGTGCAATTGAGGTTGATGGGGAAGTTAATGAATTTGTTTCAGGAGACGTGTCACATCCACATTTAGCTCAGATTCATTTGGTGCTTGGTTTGATGTCTTTGGAACATCCACCCTTAGTTGTTAATGACACAGTTTAAAGTTTCATGAGACATCAGCCATTACTTGGAGAGAAGCTAGGAAAAAGATGAGAACCAGAGCCAATGAATGGCCATCCTCTCAAAACTGAACTCTTTGACAGCTAAGGAGGATGCCTTTGCTTCCCCGATTTTTAAAGTGACTAAAAGCCAAAATACGGACTACTCTTTTGATGATCAACTGAACTCCAATTCCGGTAATTGATTTCAATTCTCTACATAAAATGTACTCCATGTCATTTATCAATCTTCATTGTATCTATTGTAAAAAAAATGTTCTTAAGCTGTTCCTAGAATAAATGGATGCGTTATGCTATATAAACTAAATAAGGCCCTGTTTGTGAGACGGTTTGAGGATGTTTTTTAATGTATTGTTTCTTAAAAACAATGTATAAGAGTGTTTGATAGAAGATTTGTGGTTGTGGGGGTGTAGTTTAAGATGATTATTAATATTTAAAAAAACCTTTTTCGAGCATCTATGGAAATCACCAAAATGGTGATTTTCCATTGTTTCTCAATTTTATATTCCGATAATGCCCTTATTAGTTTTACTTACCTTCTGAATTGTATTTTCCCTGATAAGAAATTAGGTCACTGACCATTGCCATACCTACTCCTCGCTGCATCAATTTATCTATTCCTCGCTGCATCGTCATCGTCGTATCTGCAATCTGCACTATCAGCTTCTTCTTCATCAAACAAAATGGTCAACAACTCCCAAGAAAGTATCACAGGACAAAGTTTGGTATGTTTGCTAATTTTTTCGTGTTTTGGTTCAAAATACATTATGATATTTCTTCTGTTTTAGAACCCAGTATGAAGTATTTAAATAACATTTATTTTTTTCATGTTAGAGGTGTAAAACTATTAATTTGTTAAAAAGAAGCATCAGAAGCTAACCTTAATTATTCTTTTACTTATCCCTGTATTAGTGTTTTTATTTTGATAACACTGTCTGTCGATAATATGGACAATAGCCAAAGAAAAAGAAACTTTGTCATTGCTGTGGTGAGTGTTTATCTCACAACGATGGTGGTTTGGATATTTTTCAAGCAGACGACTACCAATAGTCATTATATTGGTCAATCCGTGAGCATCGAAGCACAGAAGAATAGAAAAGATATTATATCCAACTCGCTAAGTTCACAATAATGCCGCAATATCATTTGTATGTCTCCACAATCATTCATGAGATTATTTGACTTGCTAACAACACATGGAGGGTTGGTTCTGACAATACGAGCAAGTGTCGAGGTAATGGTTGCTAAAACACTGTGTATGTTGGGGCATGATCAAACTGATAGAGATTTGTCATTAACATGGAAATGCTCAACAGAGACTATTTGTCAAAACAATAGTCATCTTAAATGTCAACGACAAACTGATAAAACAACTTGATGCTTCTACTGTTCGGACCAGAATTAGTACCAATTGCAGATTTTCCCTTTCTTTGAGGTAATTACACAAGCAACACTATTGATTATATCCCAATTATGGTTCACTGTTCAGTATATGATGATGCTCATAATCCTTTCAGAAGTGTCGGTGCAGTTGATGGTACTCATTTGCATGTCAAAGGCCCGCAAAATTATGCACCGCAATGGAGATGTAGAAAAGACTACACATTTCAAAATGTTTTGGCGGCGGGGTAGGAGGGAACCAGTTCTGATACCAGACTAATTAAACAGGCATTAACAAACTAGTACCCAATCCTACCCATTACAAATTCCAGAAGGTAAAAGTTCTGTATCTTGTTTTTATTAAAGTAGAATGACAATTGGCACCTTAAAGATTTCTCAAATATCATTGATTTTAATTAAAGATAGGCAAGTATTACCTTTGTGATGCATGATTTCTTTCAAGAGCTGGACTTGTAACAACATATAGAGGAGATAGGTACCCTTTAAGGAACATTCTTCTCAAACCCCGCCAACAAAGAGTCGGGAGTTATTTAATTTAAGGTATTCACAACTGCATAATGTGATTGAGATGTCTTATTTTTGGGATATTATTAAAAACGTTTGGAGTAATTCATAGTTTTGAAAGGCAATCACCTCCCTCGCCTAAGCCGCTCGCTTCGCTCGCCTCAGTTATTGCCTCTCAGGCGTTCGCTTTTCTCACCTTACTGTAGTTTGGCTATGGGGCTTTAAAAAAATGGGCTGGGCAATTTATTTTTGAGGAAAGAGCTGGCATCTTATACACTGACTCATTTACACCTTAGCACGACTACACCTACCAGAATCAAGTCAATTTACACTTATTGTCGTTCGTCTCCTCTCTCTCTCTCTCTCTGTTTCATTTTGTAGTTCTTTTGCTGCCTACTTTTTTTTACCATCTTTTTATGCTTCTCAGGTTTAGTATACTTCTTTGGTCCATATTCTTTATGTTTGTTGGGTACTTGTTTACAATTTTTTTGGATTAGTTGCATTGCACTATATATTTTATGTGTGTGTGTGTGTGTGTGTATGCCTCAAGTTTGCCTTTTGGTCGCCCGCCTCTTGCCTTTCCTTTAGCCTTAAGAAAGGCCATCTCGCATGCCTCTCGCCTTTTGCCTTTCAAAGCTATGGAGTAATTGGATCCAGAGTGGAGCTGTTGTATCCTGTTGAGACACAGAGCATTATTTGTGCATGTGCTAACCTCCATAGTTTCATAAGAGGGTTGATACAAATGATGAATACTTCCCGATAATGATTGAAGAAGAAAATGAAGATAAGTAGACATTGAGAAAGTGATTTGTGGTATCATTATATAAATTCCTAGTTATGTACTCCCTCCGTCCCAAATTATTTGCAACGTTTGCTTTTTCAGCAGTCGCGGGAACTTTTGTTTATTTCTATGTTTTCATTGGTTATTTGATAAAATAAAATATTCTTGACACCTCTTATTTCGAAGAACTTTTCATGTATTTTTTTGATGTGTAAATTTTATTTTTTTATTTCTATACCAATATGTAAATAAAATGAATTGAAAAAACTTGATATTTTGCCTCGGGAATACAAGTGTGACAAATATTTAGGGACGGAGGGAGTATGATTTATGGGCACGGTTTGTTGACACTGGTCAACGTTGCCACTCCGGTGCTATTGCGTTTTTCGAGCACCAAAAGTGTCCTGTTTGAAAAATTGATAGTTTCTACCCATAACTCCCACCTCTGCCAACTCTTGCTCCCCAACCCTCCACCCCAAGCCTCCTCCAAATGTGTGGCTATTATGCATAATAGCCACACATTTAAGCGGCAAGAGTGGCGCTAGGGTAGGGGTTAAGGGGTAGAAACTAGCAATTTTGTGAATGGAACACTGGAGTGTTATACCCGAGAACCGGGGTATAATCAAGTTGCTATTTGAAGATGGAATTATGGAATGGTGAAGAGGAAATGAGGGGGACGAAATATGGGGGTGGAACAAAGAGTTGTTTTTTGGGGTTTTTGATGAAAGAAAAGAATAAGTTCAAGAAGAAGAAATGGTGAGAAATGAAATTGGCAGAGGTAAAGTGAAGGGATAAACCAAGTTGGTGTTAAGAGATATAACACACTCTTATCTTAACTTGGGGTTTGAATCTAGAATTCAATCAAGATATGACACACTTAATTAAATATCTAGAACCTAAAACTCACACTTAAGATAACCACTTTTAAGATATAGATTTAGGAATTTAAATAGCAAACACAACAAGTGTATTACTAAATGGAAAATGGAATTACAATATGAGTCTCACAAAATGGCCTAAGGCCGAAATAAATACACACACATAGAGGAGAAACTTCCCAGAAANGGAAATAAGTGATGATTCTTGGGAAATAATGGGGGACAAAGGGGATGGGTGATGGTTGGTTTTATTGGCCTTATATTGGGTCATTCATGGAAGGTATGTGGGGACTGATTTGGTGGGTGGAGTGTCAATAAACTCACAAAAGTCTTTTGTCCTTTTGTTATTGTTTATCCAGCCTAGGTGGGAGACACAAGGGGGACAATGGTTGGTCAATGTTGGGGAATAAAAGAGGGGTTGTTTTTGGCCCCCCTAGTTTCGGCCTTACATGGGGACAAAGAGGGGCTTGATTAGGTTTGTGGTTTGACATGAGTTTTGGTCTTTTATGTTTTAATTCAATGAACAAAATCATGTGGGGGTATGTTGATGGGTTGTAGTTTCGGCCAGAGGGGGAGAAGAAGGAAGAGGAGAGGAGATTAGGGTTTTGGTGTTGTTTTGGATTTTGGGGTTTTGGTGGAGCCATCCAGGGGTACATCATGGAGGTGCTCCAAAGACGCCGTGGCACACTGGCACTGCTAGTGGCAGAGTTAGCTAGTGCCAACGGAACCTTACTCATGATTTATTATGTAATGTGGTATGAACTTCCTCTATATGTGTACGAGCTTACGCTTTGCTAATTAGATCACACGACACTGAATGAATGAGACGGTCATTTTCAATTAGTGATATGCCACTTCCATTGGTGATGAGTTTATTTAGATGCGAGAGTTGTGTGTTATAGGATGAGGTCTCCTGAAGAAGGTGAAGAAGCACCAATCCATTGGACATGGCCTATGCATGATTTATTGATTGAATCCTTTTTAGAGGAGCAAGATAATGAAAAATGGACCAAATGGTGTATTCACAATGGGAGCAGTCCATAATGTGGCTAATGAGGGCTACATTTCACTAATGGTATACCAACTTTGAGTGTAATTTACTTCGGCAAACGATTTTTTTTCTCACAGAAATAAACGAAGTTCAGTTTTCTTTCACCAAATGTCCATTAGTAGGTTTCTAGGTCACAAACAGACCCGATTATGGGCTGGGTATCCGGCACGCCCGCAAAATTTTGGGTTTGGGCTTGATATTTAGGATACGGATCAGGCTTGGACCTTAGAAATGTCGGCCCAAATATTTTATGGCCGAACATGGGTTTTTTGCTCTAGCCCACGGCCCGGCCCGCCTGAATGAATTGTGTATTTTTTATTAGTATAATTATTATAAAATTATAATAACAACAATAATATTAGTAATAATAAAAATAACAATACTATTTTAAATTATTATAAATAAACGCATACTTCTATGGAGAAAAAGTGAACTATAAGTATATTTAATAAAATGAATATATCTTTATTACCACGTATTGTTTGTTACGTATCACACATTGGTAATGGTATTCTAATAAATAATATTTGTGTGTATTGTTTTTTTCTTTCATATACTCCGCAGGAGAAAAGGCAAAACTGAAGATTTGAAGTTAGGTACCATTTTGGGAATTGCGCAATCTATTGGTGCCTTTGACTGCATATATCGTCCGCGGGGTCGGTCGCCTTCACAGTATCTATTTAAATTGAGAAATGCTCGTCTCTTTCCCGTAGGCCCTAAGATTCCTCAGAGATAGAAATTCCGGTGAAGAGAATATGTCAACGGGAATCGCCGGCGGTCGTCTGGCGGAGGAGCGGAAATCATGGCGCAAGAATCACCCCCACGTTCGATCCCTCTCCTCTTGTTCGATTTTATTTATCCATCTGTCTGTCTGAGAATATCTTTTTCGTTTTTCTCAAATTGGTTCCGGTTTTCATCAGGGCTTCATTGCTAAGCCGGAGACGCGTGGTGGTTTGGTTAACATGATGGTGTGGCAATGCAGTATTCCTGGAAAGGCCGGGGTATTTATGTTTCCATGCCATCATCACTATTACTTTGATTTCTCTTTTATAAAATTTGACTCACACTCATTTGTATTGGGTTCCATCAATGATAGTGTTTGTCTCATTTTGTGGGCGGGGTTAGGGTGGGGGTGCAGAGGTGGGGTAGGGTGGTGGATTTAGGGGTGGGTTAGGGAGGTAGAAATCGTCAATTTTACGAACAGAGCACCGGAGGTGCCCCAGAAACCCAGTGGCACCGTTCTCCGGTGTCACTAGATCTTACTTGCTGAATAGTTGGTAATCATTAATTGGGAATCATTCTTGTTGCAGACTATTTGGGAAGGAGGTCACTACCCTCTCACAATGCATTTCAGTGAAGACTACCCAATCAAACCGCCAGAGTGCAAATTTCCCCAAGGATTTCTCCACCCCAATATCCATACTTCTGGAAACGTTTGCCTTTCCATCCTCAATGAATACAAGGTATATCTACAACAAAAAAAATCATTCCAACCTTTTATTTTCCCAAACAAAAAAAAAATCACAGCCATTACTTTTTTAAAACCACATTCTAGGGTTGGAAACCAGCCATAACAGTAAGGCAGATTCTGATTGGTATCCAAGATTTGTTAGATCATCCAAATCCAGAGGACCCTGCTCAAGGAATTGTACGTGACCTCTTTGTTCGGGTAAGTGGCAGTATCCCTTGTTTTCAAAACAAAACAATTTAGATTTGATATGAAGGACCCTCGGGTTACCCTTTGCGACTAGTACATGCACGCACACATTAGTAATGCGGTAAGGTTTGGACTGAGAGGAGCAGTGGGTGGTTTAGTTTTGAACGTGGAGAAAATGGGAGGAGACAGTTGTGTCTCCTCCTGTTTTCTCCATACTAACGACTGAACCATCCACACCTCCTCTCATACCCCCACAAGAGACTTATAGAGATATCATTGAGAGGGAGGCAACTGCCCTTTGTTACTTTGTTCTTATTTTGTTTTATTCTGCAACCATCTTTCTGTAATGCTTAGTAATTCACTTTGAAATTGTCAAAGCTCTTTTTTTATTGGTTAAATTTCATTGCTGGTCCTTCAAGTTATTGCGTTATGCACGGTTAGTCCTTCAACTTTTAAAATTCCACGAATAGTCTTTCAAGTAATGCCCGCGTTGCATGCAGTTAGCCCTTCCACTTTGAAAATTCCACGAATTATCCTTCAAGTAACGTTAGCGTTGCATGGTTGGTCATTGTGTTAATTTTATCGTTAGTTCATACTTTTTTTAGTTTCTATTATAAATACACATAAGACACCTCTTTTTCATACAATTGAGACATACTTTTTGTAGATTTATTTTATTTGAATTATTGGTAAAAAATTCAACTTATTTGACTATAAGAGCACTGGAAATACCCTTGAAGCCCCGGGGCTTCAAACCGGGACTTCAAAATTTCTCTCTCTGCCACGTCAGTTTTAACTTAAATCACAGATTCAGTGGAAATGGGTTTGAAGCCCCGGGGCTTCAAATAGGGGCTTCAAACCTTCATTTTTTACATTTTTAAATATACATCTTCTAAATTTAAATTACTAAATTTAGTTAATTTATTATTTAAATTAATCGAAAGGACACTAGTGCATTAAAAAAAGTTACATTCATTAAAAAAATATTACATTCATAAAAAAATACATTCATAAAAAAAGTTACATTCATTAAAAAAATACTACATCCATAAAAAACAACATACAAAGAAATTACTAATTATTCGAGTCTGAAGATATGTTCAATCAAATCCGCTGTTAGTGCATTGTGAATCTCTCGGCTTCGAATTTCTTGGCGGTTTCTTCGTTTTTTTTCTTCGTCAATTTCTTCATACATAGGCACCTCCTCGTCCGGGTTGTATTGACAAATCGCAAACTCGTTGTCCTCTACGATCATATTATGAAGAATAATACATGCGTACATGATATTTCTCATTTTTGTTTGAGAAAAACATTTCGACGGACAATCTAGAATCTGCCATTGAAGCCCTTGGGGGTGGTGTTTAACGCCTCCGGGCGTTAAAAGGGGGATGACGCCGGTGGGCGTCACACCCATTGCCACTGGCCTAAGAGGTTAAAATTTGATAAACGAGTGAATATTTTAAAAAATTAAACTAATTAAAACAAAAGTAGCTTATTTTATTTAAAAAATTAGAGTAATAAAAGTAAAGAGTAAATATTATTATTAAAACATGCATGGACCCTTATTACATATGGTTCCATTATATGAATAAGGGCTCCTCACATGTACTTAAAATAGAAAAAAATGCATAGAGTAACCGCAAAATAAATGGAATTACCAACCATGCAATACTAACGTGATTTGAAAGGCTATTCGTGGAATTTTCAAATTAAAAAGGACAAACCATGCATCACTAAAATGACTTGAAGGACTATTCGTGAAATTTTAAAAATTTAAAGGACTAGCCATGCATGACGCAATAACTTGAAGGACTAACCGTAAATTTTAGCCTTTTTTATTCATGTATTTGGGCACAATTCTTTTTTGTAGTTATTTCTTTAATTTGTGGTGATTCTAATCAGGCCCGCCCAATGGGGTGTGCATGAGGTTCATTTGAACAGGGCCCCTTACTTTGAAGGGCCCAATTTTTTGAAAAACTACAAACCCATGATTAGATTGAATTTGTTATTTTAGCCCAAAACCGTTTGAGAATTCAATGCTTTCTTCAATTCTTCTTCTCCTTGTTTAATTATCACCTTTATCATGGCTTCCTCTCTTCTATTTTATTTTCCTCCATTCCTTCTTGTGCCCGTTGTGAACTTAAGCCATCAAAACCATCATAAGGACTTTGAGGCTTCTGTTGCTTCAAAATTTTGACTAATTTATGATTTCATTTATTCTTTTTTTCGATCTTTTTAGGCTTAGATTTAATTGTTTCAAAATTTTTTAATTTTTATACTCCGTAGTCTAATTAATAGAATATGTTTTGAATGTTTCTAATTTTTATTTTATATTTTTTCTAACTTTTCCAATTTTTATCCAATCCGTGATTGATTTCATTCATCTTTGATTTCAATTTTCTAATTTTTCTTCAATTCCGAAATTTCACTCGGTTGTAGGTCTTTAACAATGTATCAAACAGATTAATTTTTATTTCATCATTCGTAGGTCACAGTTTTTATTTTCATTAAAAATAAACACATTTGTTCTTAATGTTCTGTTTTATTCATATTCACTTTGTTCTCAATAATTAAACTTTTTATTTCATTTTTAAATATAAGATTTATCACATAGACATTTACTTGTTCCGTGTGTGTCCGTCAAGTAGTATATACCAATGGTTTAAACCTAGCATATCCCTTTTTCATTGTATTTTAGTATGTTTGTATATGCACTTTACCTTCTATTAAAAAATTTTAAAGTTTATTATGTTAAATGAAATAACTAATACGTTAATGTTAGTACTTTGGTTTATCACAAATTTTGTTTTAACAAAAAATTGAGGCCTAAAATATTTAATTGCACAGGGCCATTTTGAATGATTGGGCGGGCCTGATTCTAATAGCCTACCCCTGTCTCAAAACTAAAGACACACTTTTGACTTTTTTGGTCAAATTGTTCAATACCTTGACAAATCAATTTAAGTTTGGAAATGTTAGTCATGCAATTGATGGGTTTGATATTAGTAATTACTCATAGTAGGGTTTTAATTTGTTTGATGACAATAGTCTTATATGAGCAGGACCGGAGGGAGTATGATCGGAGAGTTATAGAGCAGGCCAAGCAATACCCTCCTCCATTGGCATAAGTATTTGTCAAACCATACTTTTTGTGGTAGTGTGTTGTAATGGGTGACAAAATCTTGTGGTTTATATTCAATTTCAGTGGTTTATTTCAGTCTTTGTGCCGATTGATTAAATTTGAGTATTCAAACATTTTCTTCCTCAATAACCACGAATTAGTGCTTGTGTACCAAACAAACAAAAGTGGATTTGGAGTTTGGACATTGGGCTGGGTCTGGTATTTTTGCAAGTCCCTATTTTTATTATTCACATGGTTTGTTTTGGTTTCGTTGTTGTTTGGAATTGAGAAAAGTACACCATTTACCCCGAACTTTTCAAAAATTGCATTGTTTAATCCTGAACATTAAAAAATGCATCGTTTACCCACAAACTTTTTTGAGAATTGTACAATTTACTCGTAACATTTAAAAGTGTACCAAATACCCTTGAATAATTTAAAATGTTGCACCGTTGTATTATTTTGAGAATATACACTTGGCTAGATAATATGCAAGCCATCCAAGTGGTTCCACTATATTTAGGAAAGATGGTATTGCATTGGGGAACGTTGGTCCAAATGGAGGAAGATGTCATCCCGCCCCTAGTGTTGGCTCTAGAAGATACAGACGGATCAAAGGAAACCAACATCAAATCTCATGTCGGGGATACCAATGATGGCGAGTCTAAAGTCATGAAAACAATTGACCTGGGTTCCAATTCCATAAACAAGTATGATGGTGCTAATGGTGGGGATGCTAAATCAGCTTGTGAGCTTGATATTACATCTTGTGATTCTTCTGCACCACTCCCTTCATTGGGTGTTGTAGACATTTCAAGAGATCAAGCTTTGGATGCCAACCATCAACCCTTTGTTTTGGTTTTGTCTCACCCAATCATGATGCGTCACCATTCTGATATCCTCCACAAGGAGCATCTGATTTCAGTGCGGGCAACAAGACTCGTGAATGGCTCTATCTCATTTTCCTCCCGTCACATTCTAAGAAGCATGTTGGTTGAAAGTTGGCCAATAAGTGGATTTCTTCTTTGCTTCTGCACCCTCTCTCCAGTCCAAAAGCACGAGTGGAAGCCTCCACCTTGAGGACAAGGTAGTTTTCTAAGGGGGTGAGTGTTATGGATAGTGAAGTATGATATTTAGTATTATTATTATTATTATTATTATTATTATTATTATTATTATTATTATTATTATTATTGTAATTTAGGTTTTATTAGGTGAGCGAAATTATAAGCTCCTTCGAGGTTTCTTTACAGTTCTTTTCCTCGTTGCTTTTATTGAACCGCCAGGTTAGGTGTATGGTTAAATAGGGTTTCCTTATCTCCTATAAATAGAGATGTAACCTCATTTAGAATATTCAATCAATAAACAAATCAAAATTGCAGCATGCGAGGGTGATTGGTAGTTTTTGTGCCTTGGAAATTGCGTATAACCTTGACTCTCATCACTAAGTAAACAACATTTTCTTGCAAATCTTCTTTGAATGTGCGTATATTAGTATCTTTGATTTGAGCATGGATTCGATCGCCCTAACCACAAATATAAAACATTTACATATAATTAAATTTATATTTTTTGTTAAAGATTTATTATATGTAAAATATAAAATAATGTAGAACTAACCTCTGAGTCGTGAAAAACAATATCCAATGATTCCGGCCCTCGAGAATGAGCAGAAACATGATAAACTCTTACCGCTCTTAGTTTCATAATCAATAATCCTGACCTCTCATCAACATGATCCCCATGTTCGTACAAGAAACGATGGTGTAGCACCGAATTAAAACACTCGTTGATTAATCTTACTTCCTTAGCCCGGTAAAGTAGCGTATTTATAGTACTCCCTCTGTCCCATAAAACCTTTCTCCTTTCTTTTTTTATCCGTCCCACAAAACACTTCTCATTTCTATTAAAAAGTCACTTTTACCCCTTACTTTTTCATATCCTAACTATTACATCATACCTTTTTACTAATAATCTATCCATCAAATCCTAGTTTTACCCACCACATCAAAGGACATTTTTGGAAATTCAATACCAAAATACACTCCCCTTAAATCCCTCCTAAAAAGCAAAACACTCATGTTTCACGGGACGGAGGGAGTATATGTTATTGTACGAAAACTTGGTTGATGCAACATGTAACGCCCCGAAACCTGGCCCAAAAGAATTAATTAAATTGTTAGAGCAATTGATTACGAATTGGGCCCAATAAGGGGTTAAAATTATAATTTGGATTTTAAGCCCAACTTTTATATCATCTCGTAGGAAATATTTTTGTGATCGCGTCGGTTCAGACGGCTCGCGAATCGGAGTTATGGAACTCAAGTTATGACCATTTAATCAGGTATTTTGGGTCCGAAGCCCAATCCTTTTTGGAATGGGACCATTAAATAAACCTAAACCACACAAACCTTATCTTATCTTCGTTCGTCCTTCTCCTTCTTCGTTCGTTTCTCTTCTTCTTCTTTTTCTTCTTCTTTCTTCTTCTTCTTCTTCTTCTTCTTCTTCGCCGATCGACCTCCGCCGCCCCTCGTCGCCGTCCAATTGGAGCCGCCGTCGCCTTCCCCAGCCTCGCCGCACCAGCCAATTGCGACCTTACCGTCGCCGGAAGCCAGTCGCTGCCCAGCGTCGCCAAGCCTCCAGCGCCGCCGCTGCTTCCTTCGCAAGTAGCCGCTGCTCAGCGTCGCCGAGCCTCCAGCCGCCATCGCCGAGCTTCCAGCTGCTGCTTCGCCTTCGCCGGAATCGAGCGCCGCCGTCGCCATTTGCACAGCGGCCATCCTCGCCGTCGAGTGCAATGCCGCTGTTTCGCCTTTGTCGGTCGTCCGCCGCCGTCGATTGCAGCGCCGCCAGTCGCTGCTCATCGCCGTCGAGTTGCCGCTCCGCCACTGTCGCCGGCGTCCGTCACTGTTGCCGCATCCGGCCGCTGCCCCGAGTTGATATCGCCGGCAGATTAACCTCCACGCTGGATTGATTGGTCGATTTCGTATTTTGACTCAATTTGACCTGTTCGTTTGATTTCGCCGATTTGTCGTCCGTTCGAGCTATCGATTCGATTTCGGCGTGATCCAGGTCCGTACTATGAAGTTAATAGCATTCAGAATAGATTTAATGGTTTGGATCGTTATATGTGTTTATGCTATAATTTGGCTAAATTGGTTAATTGAATTAAATTGATTGTTGAATTGAATTGTTGAGGATTGTGAATTGACTGAACATGTTTGACTTTGACTTGGGTTAGGTCCTGTTTGACTTGGACTTTGACTGGGTATTCTGTCGACGTAGGTTTGACCGAATGGTTAAATCCAAAAATTTAATGAATTAGTTAAGTTAATTAATTAATTCTAATCGGTTATTAAGGTCAATTGGTTTATTGTGTTGAACATAGAAACTGGCCATTGCTCGGGCGGCTGCAGGGCCTGGTCAGTGAGGTTAAGACGTGCGCACGAGGGTCTGCGATCTTGGGTTTGAGGCCATCGCCCGAGGGATCCTACCTCCACCGAATTGAGGTCATCTTCGGTATTACGGATTGAGGCTATCTCCGTCATAGGCATTAAATGTTAAGTGGTTTGAC